GTTAGAATTGTCTCCTCATTACTGAGCCAGGGTTGGGAATGCATTAAATTCTAAAGCTGGTAACGTTTAGGATGACACATACTCTCGTGATTTGGACAAGAACACTGAACAAAAGAAAGTGAGTTCAACGTAGTGGCTTGCTTCAATTACAAAGCAAGAAGGTGGAAGCAGTGTTCTCTAATTCACCTGATCATGCTATTCACAGCCTTTTTTTAAGATGATGTAACACCCTAAAACATTTCATGTCATCCAATAGGTGCCTGAGGTCAGTTTTCTTTCCTCAGTTTGTCTTCCATTCAATAAGAGAAAAGCATTTTCTATGAAGATGCATCACAAATGCACAACAAATCATCATAGAATCATAGGATGGCCTAGGCTGGAAGGGACCTTAGAGATCATCTAATCCAACCTCCCTGTTGTGGGCAGGGACGCCACCTCTCGACTATATCAGGCAACACATGGGGACTGAGCAGGAATCGAACCCGCGACCTCGGTGTCGGTCATTGTTATCAGCACCACGCTCAAACCACTGAGCTAACCAGCCCCCTAAAATGGTAGAGAACTGACAACCATACAATGGTACAGTTACATCCTCTTCAGGAGCTCCTGCCACTGACGTGTCTATTTTTAGGTTATGTTGCTAAATTCACTTCCACACACAACTTTTATCTAGCTCATCTTCTTATTCCCTACCTATACTTTACCAGCTGGTTGCTTCCCTAGATCATTCACACCCCTAAGTACACTTGGATCAATTCTTATAGGCCAGGAAAGCAGTTTTTAAGATAGTCTCCCTTTTACTTGTTAGCCCACGTACATGAGTTCTGTTGATGTTTCCTCATCCTTGTTTACCTCAAGTCCTATTCATTTTCGTTGTAACTGCACTGATTTCAAATCAACAGAACAGAAAGTCAGGCCGGTTGTACGTTCACCTATAATATTTTACTTAAAAAACAGGTAGCCACAGTGTGATTTCCCCACTGCCACCCAGTGCTTGCCTTCTTCCCCTCCTCCTCACCCAGAACAGAAGCCAGCCTTCAGTTCCTGACGTACATCAGCCTCCTGGTCTTCGCTTGTCAACACGGCGCACTGTGTAGGTTTCACATTAGATGGCCACGGATCCTTCAGAACCCATTTATCACAGCCAGCTCCACTCTTCATTTTATGCTCCCCCTCACCTATCTGAGCTGGAGTATGTTCTTGCCAAAGCTTTGGCACTACAGAGGGAGCCCCAAGTTTGGCAACTGTCTGTCCACTGCTAGGCCAACTTAAATGAATATCATTTGTTATTAACACATCTCCCTGCTGCTGATGGCAGCAGCTTGCCTGGCAGAGCTGAGTCCCGCTTAGAGCAACCATTTTCCGTACCTGCCATGTCATCCTCTCTTATTGACTCCTCTCCAACGTCTACCCTCCTCCCCAGCTTATCGGGTCGCCTACGTCTGAGCCAGTTCTCGCCTTCCCAGCAATGGAAGCAATCAAGCAAGAGCACATTTCAGATCAGCAACAGCCTTTTCCTCCACGTAAATAATCCCTTTTCCACATACCTTAATTTAAAAAATATTAATAACAAGAAATAATAGGATTGGAAATAAAAAAAAAAAAAACAGAAAATCAAATGAGAGTAGTCTTACCAGCTTTCAGTGTTCTCTTTCATTCCTTCAGTGGGTTATCGAAGGCCTGCAGCTGGATTCTTGATGGTAGACGTGTTTCCTGGGGTGGTTTTCTTTTGTAGTAAAACAACCTTTAGAGAAGAAAACAAAAAATATGAAGGGCAAATACAATAGAGTTTCTTTTCATAAGCTCTTCTACAAGATTATGTCAGTACTTCAGCCTTAGGGCTTTAAGTGCAGCTCCAACTAGTATCCGCAGATACACTGATAACTACATGGTGCTCAAACAGGTAGCTGCACAAATATTTACTCAGGACTTGGCTGGATTTTACCAACCAGAGCATGTTCTGTGGCCTTGTTACTGTCAGCATTTGAGCCAACTGGTGGACTGTGTCCACACCAGCTCCATGACTGTGAACTCAAACAGAGGTATCATCTGTATTAATTTACTTAGAGATAAGAATCTTCTATTTCTGGTCTTGCTCATGTGGGCACGTTCTATGCCAGTTCAAACAGTTCTTACCTCATCTGGCTCTGGTACTGATGAAAGATAGGCTGATACTAACTTCAGAGTGACAAGTAAACTGGTCAAAGGCTCCCTCAGGACTCAGTGGAGAACAGTTTCAGAGGAGTTGAGCAGGGGAAAAGTTCAGAGACAGCAGAAGAGCTCTCCTGTCTGTGCTGCTGCATGAGCCACCCTGCTCTCCACGTTGTTCAGGTCCCACGTTCACCCATCACTTCCCTTGCTGCTACTCTGGCCCTCAGCTGCCACCCTGACTGCCTGGTTCACCTCATTATAATGGGAGACGACCTGGTAGGAGGAGGGGGAAAGACAAAAGGGATTATTTTCCACTTCTTGGAGAGGTGAACTGATCAGGTGAGTGCCAGCATCTGTGCAGCAGGAGAGACACATCCAGCTGTTAGGGTGGAGAGGCAGCTGCCCCTTCCCAGCACCAGTATGTCATTCATCCGGTGAGCCACCTCATGCCATTTCAGATGCGTGCTGTAGAGGAGCCTGTCTTTCTCCGTCAGCTACAGATCAGCCTCACTAAAGCTGGAGATATCCTTGTGTCCCTCACGCTGAGTTGCCTAGGCCTGAGCATAGATTCTGTTCCTTCCCGAAGGAGAAAGGAGAGGGGGGACACCACCTGCCCACCCAGCAAGACATCATGAGCCCTCCCCACAGCAGCCTTTGCTCGTGGAAATAGTCACTCAGTCCCCTTTCTTGTGCTCCCAAATTTTTTTCTTTTAGCCCTTTTCTCACATACCTCCAACTAGAAAACGTATTTCTAAGTGAAACAACTCTGCCCCCCGTTGAGCACCTAACTAAGGAGATGAGTGAATTCTTAACTGAGGAAATGTAGTAGGTTGTCCCCTGTGTGTAACGGAGTGCCTGTTCAGACCACGCTACAGCAGTATACAAAGACATGGAAGAGTCACCTTGGCTCTAGCTGGCTCACCTCTTCGCTAGCCACATCCTGATGGGAACTTTTCAGAAAAGCAATCCCTCAAGCATTGCTGTAGAAAAGCCGGAGTTGAGTAGGAAACTGCCTGAGGGAAGAGGCTGTTCTTTCTAGATGTCAGTTTGGGAAGCAGGCCTTGGAGGTCTTCCTCTGGTTTCCAGAGGAGCCCTAAGAAAGCATCATCACATCTGGCTATTCTGAAGTTAAGACTAGTAAGGCAGACAATGACGAAATATGAATAAATAACATGAACATTAGTTGTGCCATGCTTAAAAATAGGTGCTGGGGAAGTTAAAGATGGGAAACACTTCTGTAGAAACTGAAAAATGAATGAAGGCAACATATCAGGGTGAAAGGCAACATTTTGGGTCACGTATGCAGCAAGAGAGCATGTACAGCCACCTTTCAAAAACATGCTGCTCTTCTGGTTTCCCCCTGAATAGTTTCTCACCGGTGGCCTTGACCAATTCCTTTTTCATAGTGCGAGTCACATACTGCAGATGCAGGGAAGGCAGTAAATTGCTTTCCTGAGCAGGGCCTCTGCGCTTACTTTGGATGGTGTGCAGTCCCGCTGTGTACTTTCTGAAACCAAATTTGCTTGGCACTTGTTAGTGATTTTTAGAACCTGGTCGAACTGTAATAAAACACCAAATAACAGTCCTTAAATGTAAAATGGCCAAACCTTTGATAGAATATTTTTTGTCTTTGGGGGAGATCTCTTGAGTTAGGACTTGGAGCACACTGGAAAATATAACTCCAGAGCAAGGACAATTCATTACTAAATTAGTCTGAGATGTGCTAGTTAAGGACAATTTCTGTATGTTCCAAAGGTGGAAGGCCAGAGCAGAATTATATAGGGGTTTTGTAGATAAACAACAGCCTTAGGCTTTTGTTCATATACGCTGCCATCTGCATGTCAGACAGTCACTAACTCTGAAGAGTAAAACTCACCATATTACATAACAGATTATCGTATGTCCTCCTCTTTTCCATTCTTAAATTTGATACACGCTATCAGACAGTTAGTACTTCCCAAGTATGTGGAAAATACTTTGTTCTAGAATTGTAAAAAATCCAGAGCTAATTTACAATTTTTAAAATAGATTTTTCTCTACACTTAAAAGATAGTAATAGCTTGTAAAACACTGGAAACGACTTTATCAACCATTACAAACTAAAAAAATGCAAAAGTTTCAGACCACCCACACAGATGGTATTTTTCATGCTTCTGTATTTGCATACCAGAAAGACTTTCATTTTTCTCTCTCAAAGTACACATGTAAAATCAATCACAAAGCAGAATTTGTTGTAAGGCTTTAAACTGGCTTAGAAGCCCTTCTTGCCAAGGTTATCAAATCATGGGAAACTTGGGGAGGTATGATTTTTATTACAGTGTTTGAGGGGGTTGTTTATTCTTTTGTTGTTGTTGTTGTTCCTCAAGGGAAGTTGATTTCCTAAAGGAACAGGAGCAGCTGCAACAAAATACCAGGAAACCACTGACTAGGCAGTGCATATAAAAATTTAAGTGAACAAATTAAAAACAATACTGGCTAATTAAAGTGTATCAATGGGAAGTCCAAACATTTGAAAATTCAATTAAAAAAAAAAAAATCTGGCACCCCTCTGACATGGATAAAGTTGGCATTTGCCGAGCAGCAGCTTTCTCACCTGTCTCATTGAGATCCTGGGATCCCACGCTGGAAGGGCTGTTTTTGTACATTGCAGTGTTGTTAATTAATGCCAAAACACTAACAATAGACCATTGTGTGCATCCAGGCACTTTTTATGAGCACAGGATTTTTTTTCCTCGCTTCCCACAAATAAATTAAGGCTTAAGCTCGGATTCACCGTCAACCTGGCATTCCAGTTTATATTAAATTTCTTTTATTTCATACCTTTTGTTTTCTTCTCTTGTCATTTTCAGACACTGCCTCCTCACTTAATGGCAACGAGTATTTCGCAGTTGCATGCTGGGCAAGGAAATGCCCCACGTGGTGAGGTCCAGGAGATACACGAGGAGGTATTCAAGGTCAAGCTGAAAGAAGTGGAGGGGCTCGACATCATGAAAACACTCCAGGATCAGATTGGCCAGTGTTTAATTGAGTGCCGGTGAGCAGAGATAAACACTTATTCTTTAATAAGTCTGTTTGCCCCAAGGAGCCTGATTTTGCAGTTCTAACAAATTACAAAATCCAGCTTACAGTGGTGATCCCAGTCGCAGTTGCCGAGCTAGTTCTGTACCAGCTGCAGAAGTAAGTTCCCGAGCTGCAGGATTCCTAGTTGGGGAAACCAGAATAACGCATCAGTCCTTGCACAGTACAGCAGGGATCAGAGATGAACCTTGAAGGACTACCTGCACAATCAGGTCCACAGAGATTGAAGTGGGCTCACATGCAGGGCACATATTAGCTCGGGCTCCAGCTTTGTAATTACAAGAAGCGTGCTTAAAGTGTAGGAACACTGACTTCTTTTCTCTGTCTGAATACACAAGGTCGAAGAGAGAGAATGTAATCTTCCATGAGATAGAAGTATAATTATTTGCTGTAGCAAATCACATCACGTCACCAGTACTGCAGTCCAGGTGCCTGCTCCTGGTATTATCCAGCAGCCGATATGAATCTGAAGTACTTTCATACTTGAGGCCTGACCTTCAAGACACTCCTCCAAATGTAACTTAAGTTACTTAAGAGGCTGCTGATCTCAGTGAAACTTCACGTCTCAGTAGAGTTAAGCACATACTTACACATTTTTAAACCGAGTGCTGACACCTATAGTTCTCCCAGAAAGTTTACTTTAGCTGAAGAAGTTTTCAGATCGACAGTTTTAAGATGGTGAGACTGAAAAGCCTTCTAATAAGGAATATGAGCTGGTTGTATGATATAGGTAATTTTTGCCAGGGTTTACCCTATCCAGTGTGTTGGTGTGTAAAAGTACATTGGGAAGCAGCACCCGAAAGTTCCAGGATTTAGCAGCAAGGTTTCAGCTGCTCTGCATAAAACTGCTCTGCAGAAAGACTTCCAGTGTTTCTGTGTTTTGAGCTTCTTGATTATGTTACAGGCTCATATTTGTCTTGTGGACTAGTGTCATGCCCATTAATCATTCACCAGTTTTTTCAATGGACTGGACCTGCCTCCACTATGCAGTTTCCAGTTGGAAACACAAATACGTTCTGATGAAATCCTGCTCTATTTAATCCATGACTACTTTAGTGAGGTTTTGGTAGCTGTATGACAGTGTAGCGTTTGTTCAAAAAAAAAAAAAAAAAAAAAAAATCGAAAATAGCCCTCACAGGTCTGCCACAATCTCTTTCTTGTACTTTTGCCTCTTAAAGACACTCGAGACTCTACTATATTTTCTCTCCTTTAGAAAGAACTGCTGGTTTTACAAACCTCAGGTTATTAGAAAGCACTTCCCCATTCCTTGTATCAACCCTGCTCCTGGGTCCCAGTCTACACAGTTTTTGAGCTGCCATTTCCTGCCGCTCCCCACAATTCTCAGCATGTTCTGAGGTACAGAAAGATCTTATTTCCTTTGCTTAATATTACTCATCTAATAGTAATTCTCTAACATAGGTCAATCGTGTCCAATTAACTTGACTCTACAGCTTGAGGAGAACTAACTGAAATACTGTGCGAAGCAATAACAATGTTTCTACAGGAGATTAACAGAGAACAGTCAATCTCCCGGAGAGTAAGGATGGGCCGTAAACCTCTTTAAAGACAGTTATGAGACATTATTAAAAGTAAAATCCATTCCACAGAGACACTTAACAGCAGAGCCAACCAAGAGCCTAACCAATCCAAAGGGTCGTTTGGAGGAAGCCAAAGCCATTGTTCACTCAAGAGAGGTGGAGAGGAATGGCTGAACGGGCAGTTCATCAAAGCCCTTGCTTCCTAATGTGTAAGCGACCTCAGTCTCATGCATCTATGAAATATTCTGAAGATGTAAGGTGGAGCGTAAATGCTGAGCTTTCTTATTCACTAGCCCTTACAGGTGAAATGGGACCTTGGTGCTACATTTATATCCCAGATGTGCCCAGGGGCCCAACTTTAGGTGAGACTTCAAGGCTATAGGCAGACATAGGCAGTATCCCAGCATATAAATATGCGATTAAACAAGTTCTAAGGAGTTCTTTAGCTAACCTCTAAGTTGTCTGGTCAGGTGCAGTAGTCTTGAATCTCATCTAGACTTGAAAATTAACAAAGATTAAAGCGGATGTTGGAATATAAGCACCCCATTAACTGATCCTGGATAGCTTTAGAGGTACACATTTCCTAAGCAAGTGATTGTATTAAACAGGAATAAGATATAACCCCACACAGAGTTCATATATGATGCCACTGCGTACAGGCAAGCCTTTAGTCAGACACGTTGTTCTGCTGCAGCTGAGATAGATAGACCCAGAAAACAGCTCCCCTTGTAGAATAACCACACACAGCGAGTTGCTTTACCCATCCATATGAAACAACCTGATGTGAAATAAATTAACCAAAAAGCAGTTTTAAGCCAAGTCAGACCATTTTGATAGAGCAGAGTTAAAGAGATGCTGTGTGTGCTGTTACGTGGGGAGGTCATCTCTGATGGCAGAGGGGCAGTGACACATTTGGGTGCAGGCGGAGGGGTGAGTTTGATCAAACTCCCTGTTGCTCTCTTTTTTCAAATTAACTATCCACCCAGCGTGATCTCTTAAAAATCAGTAAGGCATGTTTCAGCCAAGGCTAGGCAGATTTCATCAATAAAAAAATATTCTGGTAATTTAGCAGTGTGGTGGATAAAATTCTGCCCCCAGTGAAGCCAGTGGGAGAGCTGCCATCAGCATCAGCAAAGACTGGACATCGCCCAATATTTGAGTTCATCTGAATCTGGCTGAGTGATGCAGTGATTTATGGAACTGAGAAGAATCAGAGTGAGCTGCCTGCCATCCCGCTCTTCACAGGAGGCCTCTATTTAAGTGACCAAAATAATTTTCCCTGCAGACATATTTACTTGCATCCAAAATAGGTTAAAAAAAAAATACTCAGCAAGATTTCTACACATGAGGAGCATGTGTGTCACGCAGAGCCAGGCTTTCCCTGTGGTGCACGCCAGCGACGCTGCAGAACTATCAGGAGCTGTGTCCTACTGCTGCCTGGCCGGCTGAACAGTGGGCCAGATTTGAATTGTCAAGGTTTACATTAATTATTACCTGCCAGGATATGTTTTGGCTCTCCACTAAGCAAATCTACCAAATCAACAGCTGAATGTAGCTTATAAATTATTCTTTAACTAGGCTTTTTGACAGAGTTTATCATTTTCCATAGTCTATTAAATAAACAGATAGCTAAAGAGGGACTATGGTTCTTTTGAATAAATTTTGTTGTGCATACCAAAAAAATAAACCCAAACTTCCATGTTTTATCCTTCAATGGCAAAAGGATGTGTTAGGAAATAAAATTAGCAGGTATTGTCTTTCAGCACAGGTGCTATTAGATTACAAAAGCAACAAGCACATATTAAATTTCTTCACTTTAAGAACTGCTATAAATATTTACCACTTTCTTTGCACGAAGGAACAGGCATAGCTTCAGTCATTTAAAGACCCAAGACAGGTTCTTATGAGGATAGGTTCTAAAAATGCAAAAGGAAGCAAAACCCAAAGGAATAGATTAAACAAAAACATTCCAGTTGCTTATAGCAATCCCACTGCAGAGAAGACAAAATATTTTTGATGTAGCACTGTGCATTTCACAGCCTTAACACCTAGCATTCTGTTTATCTGCATTGACTTCTATAGAGCTGTTCTTATTTGCCTGGCAAATTATTCACGTAAAGCTTTCTAGGTTTCTTTTTGGCCTTGTCCCTATGCACCATACTAGAAAAGAAAGATAAGGTTTTACTCTTTTTTTTAATGAAAGCATCATGCAGTGTACCTACAAACCTCCTTTTTTTTTTTTGTCAGGATAGCTATATGATTCATAGAGCAGGAGTAAAAATGCTCCAAAATTAATAGTTGCTACTATTTTATACATCTGAGTCTGGATTTTAATCTCTTGACTTCCACGGATTCCATCCATTAACTTAATAACAGAATTTCATATTAGGATATAGCAATTGCGAAACTAGAACCCCAGCTACAATTTCCTCTGCTGTTCCAGAACAAAACCATTTTTCTCTAATTTCACATTTAGGGTTTTGCACTGCATATGCAAAAATAGTCATCATCTTGGCTCTTTACCCACTGTACATACCAACAGTTCCCAAACTACAAATCTTCCTTGGAGTCACTCCTAAAATAAATTTTTAAGAGAGGTGGGAAGAAGAGGGAAGCAGGATTCCCTTATTAAACAGCAAAACGTAGTAGTATCTTTGTCTAAGTAAAGCCTTCTCTGGTAGAAATCAATACAAAGGATAAGAAATCAAGATGAGGTTTTTATTACCAGAAATAGCCTCAAGAATCACAGGGGAGAGCCTCATACACGGGCTTTGCCGTAATGTGTCTTATGCCCTCTAGCTGTAACAAATTACGCTGTGAATTTCTTGGAGGATTTATATGCCGCTGTGCAGTGCTCTGGGGAGCATTTCATCAGTGGCATCGCTGACCTAATAACGGGGGATCTAAGTAATAGCAACTTTTATGTACGTTATGTGTTATTCCCACAGATTTGGGGATTGGTTTTCTGGCGGAAGGAGGAGGCGAGGGGTAAATGTGCTTTCATAATAGGTTTACACTTTACTGATTAGCTTTGAATGATCTTCTTGCTCTGCCTGCTGACTTGAGTACTGTCAGAAAAAGAATTGGCCGAGCTTCATGGTGAGCGAACGAGATTCCTTCTGAAGCAGGGGGTTCCTGCATTTTATTTGTTCATTTGGAACCTTCCTGACAGCCAGCCCAGGCTTTGATGCAGAGGAAGGGAGAAAGAAATAGGAAGCGATCGTGTTATATTTCCCTTTTTCACAAGGCTGTTTTGTTGAGCTAACTTGACTGCCAATATGCCTGTTCACGGGGCTCCCTAGGTAGCGAGAGGTGGGGAAGGAGGAGGCAGGAGGAAGATGAATGGAGAGAGAGGTTTTGCACTGAAACTCCACAGAGTAGGCAAAGTGTTCATTTGTGTCAGGCCCATCTCGCATTT